AATTATGTCAACTAAAAACTACATAATGCATATATCAAGTTTTGGAATTTTACTTTCACTTGAAAAAATGCATTGTGGCAACATCTCCTTAGTTTTGATCTATAGCACTTATTTCCTTTTATAAATTCTTTTGTTTGTAAAATACTTTAAAAATTTATGTTAACCGACATAACTGTGCAGCCGAGTGGCTAGCTCACTGAGTCTCTGAAACAAAGAGCAGTGGTTCAAATCCTACCCTTGGATATTTTTATTTTTTTTTTAAAACATTAAAACTTGATATATGTTTTAACATTACATAGTTTGAAGTTTACAAAAGTTAGATATTTGCATACACTTTCATTAATTTTTTTAGAACACAATATAAAACACTTTTAAAGAGCTGAATAAGTATTGAAATAGAGACTCATTATGGCTCATTACAGCTAATATATATATATATATATATATATATATATATATATATATATATATATATATATATATATATATATATATATATATATATATATATACAATATAATATATAATATATACACAATATAATATATTATATAATAATAATAATAATAATAATAATATATATATATATATATATATATATATATATATATATATATATATATATATATATATATATACAATATAATATATAATATATATGTATATACAATATAATATATATAATATATATATATATATATATATATATATATATATATATATACATATATATATATATATATATATATATATATATATATATATATATATATATATATATATATATATATATATATATATATATATATATATATATATATACACTTTTGCATGGTAGTCAGAAAGAGTTTCCCATAAACTGTAGTTTTAAGTTTAAAAAAAAAAAAAGAAAAAGTTTAAAAACTTAAATTTTTTTTTTTAAAATGATAGACTGCCTGCCCAAAGCAAACCCTCAGTCGATGTAGCAGCACTCCCTTGCGAGTCAGCCTATTTGTCAGTCGATGTAGCAGCACTCCCTTGCGAGTCAGGCTATTTGTCAGTTAATGTAGCAGCACTTCGTTACAAGTCAGGCTATAAGATAGTCGATGTAGAAACACTCCCTTGTAGCAGCAGGCTATAAGATAGTTGGTGTAGCAACATTTACGCATGTTTCAAAAATGTTTTTTAATAAAACAAAAACAAAAACACCACTAATTAAAAAAAACTTCCTAGTCGTTATTATTGCGGTTTTTTTAAAATTTTTTAAAAAACAATAAAATTTAATGTACTTCTGCATAAATTTAATTGCTTTGACATTTCGACGACAATCAAATACAGCTTAAGAGACGAGGTAATTAAAATTGTAGTAGAAAGAGACTTTTTTTACATTAAAAGACTCTTTCCACTACACTATAAGGATATATATATATATATATATTATATATATATATGTATATATATATGTATATATATATATATATATATATATATATATATATATATATATATATATATATATATATATATATATATATATATATTATATATATATATATATACACACACACACATACACAGCGTGGAAAATAACATTCAGTCAACGACATCCTGAAATGACTAAAATAGCTATTTTGACCAGTTGACCAGTTGAAAAAAAATCAAAGTTTTGAAAAACAAGGTTTTGCAAATATCCATGATATAATAGCGTAACGTTTTGGTGACGTCAAATTGTTTGTTTGTCCGACTATCAATCCCACAACCACTAGCGTTTTTAAGAAATTCTTTTGTTTCTGTGCAATGTTTGTCTGAATATCAATCTCAAAATTCCTTGTTTCTAAAAATGTTCTATTTTTAGAACACAAAGGGTACATTATTTGGAAAATGCATATCCTAAAATTTCATAAAATTGTTTAAAATTTAAATAAGTGTTTTTTTTTTTAATAAATAAAAAATTATCAATCGCATAATTATTTGGAAATAAAAAATTGCTGAAGATTCGTTTTTAAAAAATTTAAGCGAACGCCAATGTTTGCTTAAGTAAAAGGAAGGAAACGTGACGTTCGTTTTTCTATCTTTTTTTTTAACAAACGTTCGCACATTCGTCGATTTGTCGCGCCCTGCCTTATATATCAAAATTTCCCTATATTATAAATGAAGAACCTTTTTTTTTAGGTACCTTCTTTTCATTTGGCGCCCCTTGATATCTGCTGCCCTGGACAAACTGTCCTTTTTGACACCCCCCTCTCTCTTGGCGGCCCTGAATAAATGAACGATTTATAAGTAAATTGAAGGATTCTTAAAAATATATACGTTTAGTAAAATCTCATTTTATGTAACACTATTTTTGTAGTAGTGTTTCATAAAACAATTGTCTTCTTAGTATTAAGTATCAAGTTTAATATATTTAATAATTTAAATTTGCGCACGAGTGTTAATAAAGTTATAAATAACTAATTTTTACTTGTTTTTCAAATGAGCAGAGATAAAAAAAATGTTTTATACCTCTGCTTATTAAAATCAGAAATATAAAATTATTATTTAAAATTTTTGTATGTAACTAAGAACATTTTCTCTACCAACTGTACTTTTTTTTTTATTATTTAGTAGAGAAAATGTTAATCAATTTTAGTAGTGAAAATGTTAGTAATTAATGTTAGTAAGTTAAAATGTAATTTTAGTAAGTTAAAATGTTAGGAAGTTAAAATTTAATTTTAGTAGAGAAAATGTTAATCATTTCATTTACTTTTTTCATAGATTTTTCCCGTCCATGTTAAGCCAGTGCAATTGCAATTCGAATTATTTTAAAATAAATTTGAAATAATCAGTTGCGTATTTACTAATTTTTTTTTCCTATTCTTTTATTAAGTTGTAATAGAAATATCAAATGTTGACCCGTCTTAATGAAGGCTAATAAAAAGATTTAAACAATGCTTTCATTTTTCAATAGTATTCATAAAATAATTTCTTTTAGTATTAAGTATTCAATTTAAATTTTCTTAATATTGTATAAAATTTGTTTTGATATTAAAAAACGAGTTTAAAAATTAAAAAATACATTGATTTTATTTAAAATCACTATTTAAAAAAGAATATGAGTTCGTTAATTTTTAAAAATTAATGAACTCAAATTTTTTGCATGTTAAGTTTCAATTATGAAGAACTATTACTCAGATGAATATTTAAACAAAGAAAAAATAAAATAATTTTTACCATCCAAAAAAACAATTGACTGTCAAATCCATGTGTTAGCTGGTCAAATTTACTGCTCGACTTTGATTTCTTATTTTCCACGCTGTGTGTGTATATACTATGCTCAATTTATATGTTAGGTCAAAATTTCCTAATATTATTTTTGCGTTCTTATGGTAAAAATGATATTGTAAAAAAAAAACTATTAAAGTAAAACTTATTAGAAGAAAAAAATGAAGAATAATAAAAGAAAAGATTGCTGCCCCATCCCAAACCCTCAGTCGATGTAGCACCACTCTGCTGCGAGTCAGGCTGTTTGTCAGTCGATGTATGTACTGAAGCCACCACAAATTCCTATTTTTTTATGACATCATTTCCATGTGTCTAATGCTGCATTTATTATTGCTGACCTCAATTTTCTTAATTCCGAGGGTTGATATATATATATATATATATATATATATATATATATATATATATATATATATATTGTACATTGTAAAATTCCACATTGTAAATCTAGTTAGACAAGCTTTATCTGGCAAACTTGAGTCACCCTCTGATCACCATCTCTTTCTTTTTCCTACAAATACTATCATGGTTGCTGCTCAAATGAGGTATCTGTTCTAGTTGGATCAACCAAAACTCATTCTTGCTACTATATTTTGTCCCTTAATGCTATAAAATTTTTCGTTTATCTAGTTTTTTTTCAAAACTTTCACCTGACTTACAACTTACAATTTTCAAAGTCTCCCTTGTTTTTTAACTCTGTCCTTTATTTTCTAGCAACTCATAATTTTATAGTGGTTGGTTGTAATCTTGTTGGTAGTGAATTAGTTTAAATAAATGATAAATGCATGCATAAATTTATAATATATAAAGTGTTATAAATTTTTTCCTAGCCCCGTCTGTTAACTCCTGCTAAATCTTAAAATTTTACAGGGGCTGGGTTTGTAAAAAGTTCCATTTTTAGCCTGGAGCCCTGGTCACTAAGAGGGATATAAATCCCTGGTCTATGGTGTCTAGGAGCTCTAAAAAGATAAAGTGACTTATGATAATACCCACCAACTATAAATTTGATAATTGTTTTTAAGATTTCTCTCTATAGTTTCTTTTGTTTTTTGTTTTTAAAATTGTATTTTGCTGTTAATAAAAAATACAATGCACCAGGGATGCGGAGTCCCAAAGCATTTTGACTTTTAATTTCTATTTTTTCCTAGTTTCTGATGCCCAAAACTCTAGAAGTGTAGATGACTTCTGATTTGCAATAAGAAAAAATTCATGAGATTTTATGAATTTGAACCTTTTGTTATTTAACCCAGAATCCTGGAGTCTTTGCAGCCATTATATATAAGAGCTCAAGTTCAATATTTCATTTTTCTTCTAAGGGATCGTCCATATATTACATAACGGGAAATTAAACTTATAGACAATAGACAAAGTATTAAAAGTTTTCCATTGCAGAGTCTTTATTCAAACCAAGTATATAAACAGCCATCGAAAACAGCCGCGCAAAAGAGCAAATTGATCTCCTACTTATATTTTTTAAATAAGTTTTGCCTTGCGTAATTTATGGACGATCCCTAACCTAAAAGTCCTTATATTTTTCCCATATGCCTCTTTACATTTTGGAGCTGCCAAAAACCAGAAGAAAATAGTCATTTTATGACTTTTAAATCTGAAGTTCTTTTTGGGGCTCCTCATCCCTGATATAAAAACACTAATATGAATTTAGATAACACAATACAAACTTTTGATGTATTTATTAGTTTCTCTATTCAATGTATTTGAAAAGTAATGAGCTTTTGCATAATAATTTTTTTAATTTGTAGGTGATATAATAAAGGTTATTCCAACCGTTAATCCAAATGTTGGTGTTACAGCTACAGCTGTTGTTTCGTCTGATAAAAGGTTCCACCCGACTCAAATGAGATCAGTTAACAGTATGGAGAATTCTGAGTTGCTTACTTCACACATAGGAAAAAAATATTATCAAAATAACAAATTAAGACAAAAAAAAAACCTTGTTGTATCATCAAGAAAGTTTCAATATAAGAACAATGTTAGTCTTAATTATTGTTTATTATTTATCATCGGTATTGGTATCACATTATACCAACATGGATGAGGTTGGTATCACATGTTACCAACACCAATGATGATCAAAAAATACTTTATACATTTTTTTATTAAACTTTATATTTTTTACATTTTTTTATAAAAAAATGAATTGTATTGATAAAAAAATTATCACCGCAATAGAAATGCCAATATTATTTTAAACTGTTTGAAAATCAAATCAGGTTGTTTAAAAATATTTAAAGATTAGATTTTCTAAATATTTCCAACTATTTTTAAATAAAAACTTTTCAGGTAAAGTAGTGGACTAACTTGGGTTTGTATTTTTACTTCTAGTTTTATTCAAAAGTATATTATGGTCAGTTTGTCTTGCTTAAAATATTATTAAGGGCAGTCAAAGTAATATAAATAATAAGTTTCTTGGTTAACATTAATAAAATAACTAAAAAAAACCTATTTTGACTAAAAACATTGTTATATAGCTTATTACTAACAAATTTGAAGTTGAAACATAAGTTGTTCTTTTAAGCAAAAAAATATTTTATATTAAAAAAAAAAATTATTTTTGTATTTATTAGGAGGTGCACCGATGCATCGGCCATGGTAACCATTAGCCGATGCCATTCATTTAAAAAAGTCAGTTTTAGGTTTTTTTTTGTTTCTATATTGTATAAAAAATATAATAATTTTTTTTTTTTTATATAACAAGAAAAACAAAATTAAAAAGACTAATTTTTCAAAACAATCGATTGTTTTGAAAAATAAGTGACTTTTTTAAACAACTGGCATAGACCAAGACTGATGCCTAGGCCAATGCATCGGTGCACCCCTAGTATTTATTTAATGTCAAACTAAAATTTTTTTTTGCCTAAAACATTTTCATTTGTGTAAAAAAAAAAGTTGTTTACTTTTTATATGTTGTTTTTAAAATAATTACTGCCCATTGAATCCAGGTTGGCATGGCAACTGCAGACCATCAAGCTGTTCTGAAACCCTTATTTTAATGATAATCTGCTGATTAAATAAATTGTTGGCAATTAAACTTTAGGATGCTTTTAATTATTGCTTTACCATAAAAACATTTTCTCAGGTGTGATGACTAAATTTAATTTGATGATTTATTGATTTGATAAAAGATATTGAAATGATAAAAATTTATTATAAATACTCAGATTACCATTAGCAACACAATATTGCTAGGTTCGCATCACATGGCAACCTATTTCTGAAATAAAACTCCTGTGTCTGCGTTTTAAACTTAGTATTATGAGAAGATTAACAAAATTTTGAAAAAAAAATAATTAAAATAAATTGTTTTGGATTTTTTTAAATAATTTTTTAATTATTTTTAGAAACATTTCAGAAGTATTGCTAGAAAAACTTTTGGTTTTAATCGTGTGAAAAGAAATTTGCCTATATCCAACCCACATCCTCTAGTTTTAGAATTGCCAAGTTTAAACAAAAAAGCTCAAACAAGTAATGATTTAAACTTTTTTAAATCAAAGCTTCCAAATATTCAAAAATACAGTGACAACAGTAGATTCTATGTTAATGGGACTCTCTCAGGAATAAATACAATGTTAAATGATGAAATTGAATCAAAGGCATTGGAAGGCAAAGACTTTTCTGAGTTTGATTATTTTGACTCGACTCCACAAAAGAAATATTTAGAAACATCTGTTGCCTTGACAACTGATAACAGCAGTAGTTTATTGCAGAACTTATCAGCTTTAAATCAAACTTCAACTTTTATTGGAACTTTAAACGAAATAAACACTAGCAATAAAAAAATTGAAGATGATAGTAAGTTCAATGAATTAGGTTATGCTGATTCATCAAGTTTGTCCAGAGAAGATGAAGAAGATGATGGTGAATTTTAATATGTGTTATTTCATATTTTCTTTTAAAAAAACTTTTTTGCTACATAATGGTGTTTATTTATTTGTTTGACAGATGAAATGTCACCTACAGACTCAACATATTCTGAGATGTTGCCCGATAGTACTTCTGAACCAATTGCTGAAGATGCTATCGAAGAAAATAAGAAAGAGTCAGAGAAACTAGAAGAAAATTTAGAAAAAGAGAGTGATGTTGAAAATGAAAATTTATTATCAGATGATGATGATAATGGTGAGTCAAAAAAACTTTCTTTGTTTTGAAAAAACATGAAATTTTTTTTTTTCTGTTTTCATCACATTGTAATATATAATTTCATCACATTGTAATAAAAGTCTTCATATTAAAAACAAATAATCACAAAGTGTTTGGATCACAATATTTTAAATATTTCCAAGATCTTTTCTTACCATTTTTCTTACTTAATTTTTCTTACCATTTTTCAACCTAAAATATTTATTCAACCTAATCATTTTGAATTAAAAACAATTATATTAGAAAACACTATAAGCAAAGGATTAGAAAAATTGGTTATAAGGTAGGTTTGATGAATTTTTAAAATCATTACTGACAATTAAAAATTTATTGAAAAATCAGAATAACAGAATTTTTATTATTAAGTAGAAATGTGTCTGACATAATTGTTCAGTTATATAGTAAGAAAATTTTTTTATTGTAAAATATTTCTTTTACTACAGTTACAAAAAAAATTTTAAAACCTGACAACTTGAAGTCTCAAAAATTAAATGTTTAATTCATTAACCACAATATACTAATTAGTAATAAAATTATTTAATTGCTAATAATATTATTATTAACTAGCAGTAAGCAACGCATAATACTGGTTATTCAGGCTTGGTCAGGAAGCGGGAGCGATCGCTCTCGAATACTGACCACGGAAATAATATTTAGTTGCGAAAAACTGCCCAGGCTTTTTAGTTGTTTTGAGAACATTTAAGTTTATTTAATTTCTATAGTAATTCAATGATTTAATTATTTCATTTGCTTATCTTACTAAGTAGAATTGTTTTAAATATGTTAAACTTTTCAAACTATGCGAAGCATAAAATAGTTATTAAAAAAATTAACTTTTTTATTTATAAAATAATTTAGCTTAGATGAAACTAAAACTTGCATTAAATTTATTAGAATCTTGTTAGACTTTTCGGGTAGTAATTTTTTTTTTGGATGCATTTGTATGTGCTACAGTGTAAAAATGACTCAACAAAAAGGTCTTCTTGACTTTTTAGGGGCCCTAATAATGCGGGGCCCGGGGCTATAGCCCCCTCTAAACTCAACCCTCCTTAATCAAGCACTGGAAATAAGACACGAGTATATAAATAAAAGTTATATTACACTCTTCGTTAAATAAAGAACATTTTTTTTCCATTTTAAACAATTGTAAGATGTTACTTTTTATAAAAAACTTCGCTTAATTTTATAAAAAAATTATATAAAAGAGTGATGTTTTATTGTTAAAAATATTTGTTCTAAACGTAATTTGTTTTGCTTTAAGTTTTTTCGCGTTAAAAGATATTTTACTTTCTTATTAATTTTTTTTTTTAGCAGTTGTCTCTTATCGGTCCAATTAATTTTAAGCGCATTTTTTTTTTTTTAGCTTTTTGAAATGTTCTTAAAACGACTAAATCTGGCCATCTTTTCGCAACTAAATATTATTTCTGTGGTCAGCAATCGAGAGCAATCGAGAAGCTCCAACTTCCCGGCCAAGCCTGGTTATTAGTAAATAAATTATCAATAACAATTTAGATTGATATATTATCTAAAAAATTTATTAAATCTTTTTAGTTCTGATTGCTTTTATTTAGAATTCAGCTTTTAGTTAATGACATAACAAGACCACACAATTTATGTTATTAGGTTTTAAAAATCAGTTATAACAGCAGGCACCAGAGAAGGAAAGCCAAGTACAGCCTGCCAATGTCCAAAAAAAAAAAGGAAAAATAAAATTATTATCCTAAATTACTAAAACATTATTTTACATATTTTTAACTGATTTTTACAAAATAAAAGAATAAAAATGAAATTAGTCGGCTAATATTACAGCCTAGCACTATTCTTGAGGTTGGGATCACGCCACAAAACGAGTTACCATCTTTGTAGGGGGAAAACATTGAACAAAATGTGTTATTAGCGCGCCTTGTTCAATGTTTTCCCCCAACAAAGATGGTAGCTCGTATTGTGACAGGATTGCAGCCTCAAGGATGTCAACATTTACTTTTTCACAGACTTGTATAAAGTTTTATCAAACTGAAGGCATATTTTTTATGCCATAGACAAATGTTGAAAATTTCAAATTAGTTTATATGGTTTGATGTGCTTACAATTATGGCTTAGTCAATAAGTTAAGAAAACGAAACTTAGTTATATATTATTATAACTTAGTTATATATTATTATAATTATATAAGTTATATATTATTATACTTAGTATACAAATAAGTTAGTGTGTTTTGTTTTAAATTATCTTTTTCAAGGAAAATCTCAATGTCACTTTACAAAATATGGTAAGGTTTTACTAAATAGCATTGCCATATCTAAACTTTACATATCCTTGAGTTCGCGATCACATCACAAAGCAATGAACAAAATCCTGGCTTTAAAATAAAAACAATGAACAAAACGCATAACATTTGTTCAATGTTTTCCCCCAACAAAGATGATAACTCGTATTGTGATGCAATCAGGACCTCAAGGATACACACTGTAAGTCATATTTAGCTAGTTTAATGTCCTTGGCTCTACACAAAAGTAACTATATTAAGTGGATTAAATTTTGATAAATATAATCAAATAATGTGACCAATCTTTCAGCAATTATTAGTTATTGATATTTTTAAAAAAAAGTTAGTTTTTATTGAATAAGTCTGTAAGAACAACTGGATTTTTTTGTGTGTTAATTCACCTCCCCAAGGTCCAGAAGGCCACTACAGACGAGGAGGCTGTTTATTGTGGTTATAACCCTCTCTCAACTCTATAACTCCAAAACATGAACCTTAACGAACAAGGCTGTTGCACAGAGAAACAAGTCGAACACAGGGGCGTGGTGGAGATTGAACTCGAAACTTCTCGCTTACAAAGCAAGTGCTTTACCACTACACCACTACCGCATTTCTATAAGTTATGAATTAGTAATTAATTTGTAAAACATTTCTTATACATGGTCATTATCAATTACACTGGTCAACAACAATTTTTCATCAGACTCGATTTTGGGTGGCCCAGATACAGTTTTTTGTGCAGATTTCAAATCTGTGCTCAGTTTTTTTGTAGCACGTCTAGTTTTTGAGATGACATGCCTTATGTTTTGAGTTTAGTGGCAATTACTAATGATATTATTCCTCATTTCAGGTTTGATTTAATCTTTATAAAATAATTTATCAAGATGCCAAGAAAATGCAAGAATCAGCCTGACACCTTTTGTTATGAATGCGGCTTATTTACAGTGTCTGGTCAGCAGCATAAAATTACAGCGAACTTGTCAAAAATCTACAAATTGTACTTTGGATGTCCGTTAGGTGATCAAGATAAAACGTGGGCTCCACATATTATTTGCACAAGCTGATCTAGTGGATTGCATGACTGGCTTCACAAACGGAAAACTGCATTTTCATTTGCCATACCCATGGTATGGAGGGAGCCAAAGGATCATGTAACTGATTGTTATTTTTGCATTGTTAACACAACTGGATTTTCATCGAAAAATAGGCACAAAAAAGATTTGGATTCGGCAATGAGGCTAGTTCCACATGACCCCTCATTACCAGTTTCAATGCCTCCAATAGATGGATTAGATTCTGTCGAAGATGAGATAGAAGTGGACTCTTGTGATGAACATCAAGATACTGCTGATCTTGACTATTCACCTGATGTCGAAAAAACGCCAGAAGTATTCACTCAAGAAGAACTAAATGATTTGGTCCGAGACTTAACCTTATCAAAGGAAAAAGCAGAACTTTTGGGGTCATGACTTAAACAAAAAAGTTTGCTTGCAACAAACGTTAAAGTGTGCCACTATCGAAAGCGTAATCTTCAATTAGCTACATTTTTTACTGTTGATGGCCCATTGTGCTATTGCAATGACATCAGTGGACTGTTTGAAAGTTTATCACAGCCGCATGAACCTTCTGAATGGCGTTTGTTCATCGATTCGTCAAAGCGAAGCCTGAAAGTTGTGTTGTTGCATAAGGGAAATCAAAAGCCTTGCATACCAATTGCTCATTCTGTTCATCTGAGTGAGACGCATAAAAACTTGAAAATTCTCCTTGAGGCAATCAACTACAAAACTCCTCAATGGAATATCTGTGGTGATCTAAAATTCATTAGCATGCTGATGGGCATGCAAATGGGTTTCACAAAATTCTGCTGTTTCTTGTGTTTGTGGGACAGCCGCGCTGTAACAGAACATTACGTGAAACGAGACTGGGACCAAAGGAATGAGTATGAGCCAGGAAGAAATAGTGTTGAAAATATTCCTTTGGTCGATCCACAAAAGATTTTTTTACCTCCTCTACATATCAAACTTGGCTTGATGAAGAACTTTGTAAAAGCAATGGGAAATGCAATTCAGCTGGATTTCAATACTTGGTGGAAAATTTTCCAAAAATGAGTGCAGCAAAGTTGAAAGAAGGAATTTTTGTCGGACCTCAAATTAAAGAGGTTTTACGAGATATTAATTTCAAAAATTCTCTCACAGATGAAGAAAAGAAAGCTTGGCAAGCCTTTACTTGGGTTTGTGCTAACTTTCTTGGTAACCACAAGTCACCTGAATATAAAGCAGGCATTCAAGAGCTGCTCGATTCATATCAAAAAATGGGATGTCGCATGTCTTTGAAGTTGCACTTTTTACATTCCCATCTGAAATTTTTTCCTGAAAATCTGGGTGCAGTGAGTGATGAACAAGGTGAACGATTTCATCAAGATATTCAACTGATGGAAAATTGCTATCAAGGGTTTTGGAATGAAAGCATGATGGGTGATTACTGCTGGATGCTTTATCGTGACAACCCAGACAAAGTCTTTAAAAGAAAGTCATATTCATGGCGATTTTGAGCAAATGTTGTGATAATTGTAGTGAATAAAACATTGTATATGTTAATACTGACTTAAATTGTTGACAATTATACGGATCTAAGATAGTAATAGGGTAGGGGATGCAAATTCATACAACACAACTTAAGGCAAATGTCTTAATTTCCCTGAGATTTGCAAAATAAG